CCTTCTAATGGGTTAATCTGGACGTTCAAGAATGAAAGCCATTTTTCTTTCGGTTTCTCTCGGGTGAACTTGATATACTCTGACTGTTCGTTCAACAATTCGAAGCATTTGTACATTTCCTCTTGTGTTGAGCAAAGGACAAAACAGTCATCTACAACTCTACAGTAAAGTAACGGCCCGAGATCGGTCACTGGTGCTACCACCTAAGACGTAAACGCAATGGCAAGACGTGGTGCCAGTTGTTGTCCCATTGCCAACTCTCTTATTTGAGCATAGTACTTTCCGGATCATATGAAGATTCAGCAGCTCAAGCATTTTTTAAAGAGTGCCATCAATTGCTCTATCTTGAAGCCATACATGTTTATATCTCCTTCGTTTTGTATAAGGAGTTGGAACGCGCCTTGCATTGCGGAGTCACTCGTCACGTTTGTATAAAGGGTGGTAACGTCGAAGGACTCCATCACGTACCCGCTGCTGGGCTGCGCAGAACGTAGACGATCCAGAAACATTTGGGTGCTCGTTAGATGGATTGAAATGTACATCAACAACTGGGTAAGTATTAGGGTTGTTAATCATGTTATTCTATCCACTGGCCCGTCCACGCAGCTAATGAAAGGTCTAACCTTAAATAATGATGGATCAGTAGACGCAAGATCATCGCTGGATACTAACTTATGAGTTTTTATAAGCAAGTAAAAGACGGGACATGTTGGTAAGTCAATTTTGAGATGAGAGATAACTGATGGTTTAAACCAACAACCTTTGCCGTTATGGCCCATTCGTGGTTCAATTTTTGGTATTTACAACCACAACGTTGCTGAGATATTTGTAAAACTCTGGACCGCAGGTGTCTATGGTGGGTAACGAACGCGCTATTGTCCTTTCCGGGGAGTAACGCGTTCACCACCACACCATACGGGTCCTTCGTTTCGCCTCTCTCTCAGCTATTTCTATCGATCTTTTTGCCACAGCAATCACCCGTCAGCGGGGTTGATCTGGGGAGCTCAAATAGGCATAGAACCCAGTTAAGCTATGGCTAAATTATAGAAGGCAGAAAACAAAACGTTAAACATTGTGATTTGAACTACAGCCATAGCTTAACTTGGTTCTATGCCGATTTGCGCTCCCCAGATGAACCCCGCTGACGGGTGATTGCTGTGGCAAAAAGATCGATAGAAATAGCTGAGAGATAGGCGGAACGGAGAACCCGTATGGTGTGGTGGTGAACGCGTTACTCCCCGGAAAGGACAATAGCGCGTTCGTTCCCCACCATAGACACCTGCGGTCCAGAGTTTTGCAAATATCTCAGCAGCGTTGTGGTTGTATTTCGCTTAGTAACCTGCCATGAAAATTATAGAAGGCAGAAATCAAAACGTTAAACATTTTGGTATTTACTTTTAAACTCCTCAGAAGATGGGCAATAAAGTGACGCATCTTCAAGATACTTTTTCGTTATCTAAACATCTAACTGATGGGGAATTACAACGAACTCTCCACCCTTATCGCTAACGGATAGTCTTATGTTTTACAACCTTATCAGCTCTCCTACCTCTCGCACACCACGTTTCTGCACTTCAGTGAAGTTTGAGCTACATCTTTTCGGGCGATAGTGATTAAGGACTTTGAGGGCTTCATTCGTAAAAATCCGAAATTTAACATCAACCTCATATTGGGTTCTTGTTGTCTAAATAACGGCTGATGAAATGGTGCTATTGGTAGACCCCACTTGGTGTTGTTCGCACTTATTTTGCATTGAATCTCTAGCTTTTTCCTTTTTTTCAAGGACCCAATAATGAGGTTGATGTTAAATTTCGGATGTTTACGAATGAAGCTCTCAAAGTCCTTAATCACTATCGCGCGAAAAGATACAGCTCAAACTTTACTGAAGTGCAAAAACGTGGTATGCGAGAGGTACGAGAGCTGATAAGGTTGAAAACCATAAGACTATCCGTTAGTGATAAGGGTGGAGAGTTTGTCGTAATTCCCCATCAGATGTTGAGATAACGAAAAAACATCTTGAAGATGCTTCACTTTATCGCCCATCATCTGAGAAGGAGTTTAGAAGCAAATACCGAAAATTGAACCACGAATGGGACAAAATGGCAAGGGCTGCTGGTTTAAACCATCAGTTATCTCTTAACTAAAAGTTGACTTACCAACATGTCCCATCTCGTAATTCCTTATAAAACTCATAAGTTAGTATCCAGCGATGTCCTTGCTCCTACCAATCCATCATTGTTTAAAGCTAGACCTATCATTAGCCGTGTAGAGGGGCCAACGGATAGTATAACATGGTTTATAACCCCAATATTTAACCAGTTGTTGAAACACATTCCAGCCCACCTTACGAACTCCCAGATGTTTCTGGATCGTCTACGTACTGCGCAGCCCAGCAGCGTGTACGTAATGGAGTCCTTCGACGTTACAGCCCTTTACACAAATTTAACGAATGACTCCGCAATGCAAGCCATATTCGAACTCCTTATACAACACGAAGGAGAAATAAACATGTATGGGTTCAAGATAGAGCAGTTGATGGCACTCTTAAAAGAATGCTTGAGCTGCTCAATCATCAGATGGTCCGGAAAGTACTACGCTCAAATAAGAGGGCTGGCAATGGGACAAAGATTGGCACCAAGTCTCGCCATTGCGTTTACGTCTAAGGTGGAAGCACCGATGACCGATCTCAGGCCGCTACTCTACTGTAGATATATAGATGACTGTTTTGTCCTTTGCTCAACACAAGAGGAAATGGACAAATGCTTCGAGTTGTTGAACGAACAGTCAGAGTATATCAAGTTCCCCCGAGAGAAACCGAAAGAAAAATGGCTTCCATTCCTGAACGTCCAAATTAACCTGCCAGAAAATGGCTACACTACGAAGTAGTACCGAAAGTCAAATAGTAAAAACGTCTTAGCTCATTAACTCTTCTCTCACCCGTCTCACACGAAAGCTTGTAAAAAGCATGTATCGAACAGCAATCAACGCGTGCAAGGGAAGAGAGCAGAAAGAGGAGTCCCGAAGCTTGGCGCGACAAATAGCCATTTCTAATGGCTACGAAATTGTAGCTCGGGACAGGTGTGGAAGAAATCCTAGGCCCCAAACCACAACTCTAGCGATAGAAAAGTCCCGTTTATCTTACCCTTCATCTCAAATGATGTAAGTGCAGCTATAAAACGCTGCTTAAGAGGAGCGGTTCTAAAGAATTCGGTAAGCGTAGTTGAAATGCCACCGAGTAATATTAGGCCAAAGCTAGTTCGTAACCGCCTATATGACTGTCTACGTGCAACGTAAAATTGCATAATTTGCCCTAATGGTAGAGACGGTGATTGCATGAGCTCGGGTATAGTTTATCTGATCTCCTGTAAGGCGTGCGGAGATGAATACATTGGCGAAACGGGCAGACCCCTCTGTGTCCGCATAAAAGAACACCTATCCGGTAAAGGTTAACCAAATACCCCACTAGGCACGTATAGGACCCAGAGACATAACGGGTAGGACTTTGAAGTACGTGTCAGGATCTTCTCACAGGAATCAAGAACGCAAGCGCGCAAAACTCTCGAGGCGTTGTGGATTAATTCCAGAAATCCGAAAATGAACCGCAGAGAGGAATGCCTCATTATCACGCGTGATATTGGACAGTACATAAACCTGTTATTCTGATGGGAGGGGCACTTTACGCTTCCATGTGAATTTTGTGCGGTTGGTTTTCACGCAGTATACTGAGTGGAAGCCTATAGAAAACGGTGAGTGTGCAAAGCTGTGTTCGATGTGATTGAAATCTTGGTTTAGCGTTCTCTTTGTTTGGTTATGGAGGTGTTTGGCCGAATAGATTGCTATCAACTTGACGTTTCCAGGCTCTGAGGAAGACGAAATCCGCAGAAACGTCAGCTTACTCGTGAATAAAAATAACACCTCGCGTTTGCTCAACAAGAACACGAAGAACACATGTTGTTGTAGTGGTGGACGAAACCTGCTTGTTCAATTGCTTCCGTTCGCGAAAAACCAGCAGCGACGAACAAATTACATTATATGTGCTCTTCAAAAGCAGAATTTCATCTTGCTAGAACAACTAAGGCTGAGTCTTTTTGCAAGTAACGGTAGATTCTGACAAGTCTCATTTCGATAGATATAATTCACCATGCGCTCAGATATATTTGCTCAGATTAAAAAGTTGACTTATTCTCGATTACGTGGGAATAACTTTAGGCATGAGGAAGTGGTAAGCCATGGGACTCCAAAAAACAGAGTAACCAGTAGTTTAAAAAGTTCGCACTTACTTAAGTGAAGGAACTCGTCTACGGCTTCTTAGACAAAGTACGACTTCTGTACGAAGGTACTTGTTAAACGAGTGCCTCCCTAGTTGCAAAACTGTTCGCGAAGAAAACGCATCTGAGAAACACAGACGAATAGAGGAGTTCCAAACGCAGACCATCAATCAGAAGCTGAGTGGAGAACAACTGAAAGACAATAGGAGCCGAAAAGGAGAACAAATCGGAGGTCTATTGCGAGAGCAGCTGTAAAATCTCAAAGATAAGGTATAAATTCGAGCTTAACTATGTCTAAATCCAGAAGGTATAGCCCCTACTGCTTCATTCTCAGCTGGCCATTTCTTAAAAGAAACTGCCATAGATTAGAGACGCTCTTTTGTCTGCCATGTTTTTATAAATTTAACAAAGGACGATCTGTTGGACACTATATCATCTGAGTCCAAAAACCACAACAAAAACTTGGGTTCGGTAAAACAAACAACCTTGAGGAAAATGAGTTAATATCAACTGGTGCCAACCGAATTGACCTCTCCCATTTATTAGAAGACATCTACTCACATCAGTCTCTACGTGTTAAAGAGAACAAAGATAATGTCCTGATATATTGTGAGTCAAAAAATAGCGGTACATTAAACGATAACAACATTGCAGCTACATTACCAGTTCTCTCTATCCTTAGATTTCTTAAAGCTATGCAATTTGTATGTAATATACTTCATATGCTCTAAGTTACGACGAAACGACATCTGAAAGTAGGAAAAATATTTGCATACTTTAGTGTAGAGCTAAACTTTGCACATGAGTCTACCTCATCACAGTTAAGCAAATGAAGAAATGCTAGTTTAAAGAAAACCTACCAAGAATTGGTGCACAGGCTTCACTCAAACTCAGCAACGATTCAGGAACTTCTAAGGGAGAAACAGTAGTAGAGATAGATGAGGTAATCACAGGAAAGTCGAATGGATTTGACTATAATATAATATAGAACATAGACAAGTTTCTAATCTTAAAGAACATCCAACAATAAAGGAAACAAACGATAAAAACAAAATAAAGCTTATTAGTTAAGGTGTAAGAAGAATAAAGTAGTGAAAACAATATGATACCTTTGAGAATGTCCTCAAAAGGTTCACACCCGCTGAGACTTCACCAGTGTCCATACTTAGTTGGATCTCCGTACAAACATCTTTTCGATTTGATCTATCGGCTGTGTACGCCTAAATAAGAATAAAGAAATAGAGAAAAATTAAAAATAGGAATAGGTGAAACAAAAAGGAAACTTTTCTTCGCACTTTCACTACCTTAATGAACGAAACAATCGTTTCCAAAAAACCAGGAGAATTCCATCTAGGCTTATGGGAGCCGCCCAAAAACTTGACAAATGCTGTGAAGAGATCAGCGTTTTTACTGCACAAATCTGGATATGTACATAGTACTAACGCGATGACGGACAATGAAAAGCTGCGAACCCTGAAAACACTTGTACGTGACAACAAGAAAGGTGGGAGCGAATCTGAACTAAAGGGCTCATCCATAGAGTCATGAAGTAACCTGGCTTCATTATGAGTGAGTGCATGAAGGAGATGAGCAACAAAGAGTGTGAAGTGTGCAGTCATGGAGTGTGGTGACGCATTGCAGATCACACGAATGAGAGCTAGAAGTTGCCCAGACAATGCAGGATCACTCCCCTAAACACATGAAAGTTTGTAAGCAATAATATGGAAGAAAATCTCTCTTGAATCCAATTAAATCTCTCGCCTATGTAAACCAGTAACCTATGAATTCAACAGAGATATTTCATATTGAACTACAGTATCCACAGATCCCGTATCACGTGCACCAAGAAATGTAAAGATTTTTACTGTTTTTCTTCAAAAAATACACATAAGGTCGGTATTATAAAATTTATTAACATACAATAACTGCCATCTCGGCGATATCCCTTTCTTCAGAGCCTGGGAAGGTCAAATTGATATTCAATCTACTCAGTAAACACTTTCATACTCTCAGTAAATAAAACTTAAGTCAAAAATTTCAATTCGCATAATAAGCAGCTTCTTTTAGATACCCCCGTTTGATTCATTGTAACTATTCCAGTTAATTGGTGGAGAACAACCGCACAGAGTAATACATGGGCGAACGATGTATCTGGTTCAGGTCACAGAATCAGTCTAAGCCATTACTCGTCCAAATTACAAAGAATGGAACGGTGGGCGTTTAAAAGCTGTTTACTATGCGAGTGCAAATTTACGTGTTAAGTCTTATTTGCCAGGGTTATGAAAGTGTTTGGTTGAGTAGACTGCATGTCGATTTGACCTTCCCAGGCTCAGAAGGCGAAATCGCCGAAGCTTCAGTTATTGTATGCTAACAGATTTTATAATACCAACCTCGTGTTTGCTCACTGAAGAAAAACAATGAATTATCAATCAACATCGAGATTAATATAAAGTCGATCTTGAGAATTTAACTTACACAGTGAGGTATAAGGCGCGCTACGGAAGGAACTAATACTCGAAGATGGCTTTCGACCAAATCCGGACGCGACGTCAAAAGCTGTTTCGTACCAACTAGTGCACCGTTTCGAACACTCTGCAGCAATGCTAAGATTACATATATACACTTACAATAAATACACTTAAATACATTTACACATGCAATTACAAATACAGGAGACCAGTGGTGCTGTGCACAAAACATTGTTCTTAGTAGCAGACCATGTACAGAAATACTTACTAGGATACTTGAACGGCCCATCTTCAATGGTTGTGCGGCCCCCAGCATAAATTTCATTTTTTCGAAGTCTTCCTGATTTAGCTGTTGTGGTTCCTTGGAGTCTCGAGCTAAGCCTAGCTAAAGTTTTCCCAGGCCGTCACCACCACAGGCATTCGCCGTGGATTGTGGATGAGGGAGATTCACCAACATGCGAATAGTTTGGTACCAGTACGGCGGTGGATCCTTGTGTTGGATTACTCTTATCTGGGCTTCCTAATGGAAAAAAGACTAATGGACTCCTTCTCAGCATGGAAGGCCCTACTGAAGGACAACTCCCCCTGCCGTGCATCGCAGCCCGACACCCAGGAAGACCTCCCAGCCATGATGAGGCGATAAACCCTTGAGAGGACAGAAATACTAATAAGCTGCAAAAGCAAACACAGCAAAGATGAGCCACAAAATAAACCCACCCAAAAACAACTCCGTACTTAAAGAACACAATTTCGCTCACCTTACTGAAATGTCCAAGCTGCTTACACAAGTCATCCAAAGACAAGCCACGATAAGATAGTGGTCTCTCAGATGTACCATTCTTTTCTTGAAGTTGAGAAAGCAGTACGACTTTTTTCGCTAAAAGATACAGCACAATTTAATTATAAATCTGATGGTTAAAACTATCTATAATGGAAAGATCTATACAAATTACACTTACTTTTAATAGTTGTGTCGGTAGTCGAGGTCTTCTTTAGCTTCTTTCCCACCTTTAACTTTACTTTCTTGAAGGCAGCGTTCTTCTTCGCTTTCTTCTTTGTAACCATCTATGATAGAACATCATTTACAAACTAACGAAGACTACCAGTGTCGCTGAACAACTTACTTCGTCAGAAATCTGGGTGAAAACAAACGCACAGAACCGTCGAGCTTTAACTTCTATACGTTGTTGCTTAGAGCACACTATCTGATTTCAGCTCGACTTCAACAAAAGCAATGTTACAGTGCAAATTCGCCAGTTAACTTCTTTATTTACTATTATAATTTTTCACGGTAGGGTATTATATGTGATTCAACCACAGTGGTGCTGAGATATTTGCAAAACTCCGGACCGCAGCTGCATGCATTAGGGAACGAACGTGCTGGGCTAATGCGTTCACTACCCCACCACCCAGGCGCACTCCTTCGTTTCGCCTTCCCCTTAACTGGGTTCAATGGCGATTTGTACTCCCCAGGTCAGTCTCGCTGACGGGTAATTGCTAAAGGCACTGGTAGATAGAAAACTAGCTGAAAGAAAGGCGGAACGAAGGATCGGCATGGTGAGGTGGTGAACGCGTTAGCCCAGGGAAAGGGTAATAGCTTCTTCGATCCCCTCTGCAGACACCCGCGGTCCGGAGTTTTGCAGCGGTTTAGGGGTTTGTAAAATGACAGGATTGTAGAAGAGGTTATGCTCTGTCATTGGATGGATATTAATGGGATGTATAGTACTATTTCCCCGGTTCTCCTTCATAGAGGGATTTCCCGTCGGTTTGTCGCGAAGCAGCATGATACGTCCCTAGGTGGTGGATAGGAAGTTAATCGCAGACCAAAAGCGACCTTTGCTACCCTGTGACGCAGGCGGATCTAGGGGATGAACTTTCTTTCTCTGTTGAGCTGATTTTGCACGCACCTTCTGTGTTTACGAGGACACGTTCATGCAGGCTTGCGTAGGTGTCTTACCGTTTATGCGGATTGCATTCCACGAGACAATTCTACCAAAAGAATACAGTCAAGTGACAGGAAAGTGTATGGGAGGCGGATAGGAGTCGCCTCCAACAATTAGGCTCCATGTCCGCTTTGTGAGACTTAAACTAACTTTGAGGTGGCAAGCTACCCGTGACTATGCTCACCTACGACATCCAAAGCTCAGCAAGGTTTCAAAGGTGAAATATAGTAAAATAAACGGGCATCATTTCTCTAATCCCGGAGAGGCCCTCTAAACAGTGGCGCTAGGCAGGAACAGGACTGAGAAGCAGAGCTGCTGAAATTTAAGCGCTATTGTAGGCTGCCTAAATTGCCAAAGACTAAGATGACGATCTGTACCTACAAACACGTACACTTGCATCTGAGTCCTCGGTAGAGGACTTCATCATGCAGACAAGAAGGGTAAGGTACGAGATCAACGGCCTGGTTGAGGCTAGACAACGCCACTCATTCAACACGGTCTATGACATCGGAGAAGAACTCCTCCTCGGAACATGCGACAATAGAGGAGTTGGTGGCACTGGCGTTCTTTAGCACGAGCTTGGGTGATACATTGATTAATTCGAACACCTTCAAACCCGTATCGGACATCTACGATTAAAAAGATATGGATCAACACCGGCTTTGACAATATTCGTCGTTTACGCGCCAACATCAAACTATGACGAAGAAGAAGTCGAAGCGCTCTATATGGACTTGGAGAAGTTCTACAGAGAAGACCGTACGTTCTTTAAGGTCATCATTGGAGATTTCAACGCCAAGATTGAACCCAGAAGAACGTTTGAAGAACGTCACATTGGAACCAACGGATTTGAAGGGAACGAGCATGGTGCGCAACTGTCTGAGTTTGTTATGACGACTAAGACCATTCATGGTAACTCGCAATTTCAGAAGCCCCACCCTCACCAATGGATTTGGGAGCCTCCCAATCCAGAGTGCCATAGCGAAATAGACCACATTATTGTAGAATGAAGGTTTTGGCCAACCGATGTCGCTGCTGCCCTAAAATACTACGTGTGATTAGAATATGGCCTCTTTCGCGCAATATTTCAGTTCTTCCCGAAAGGAGAAAAAGTCGCCTAGTTCAAAAAACGAAATTGCACAACTACCACAAACTGGGATTTATTGAGTTCATTAGTCGGCTGTTGGGAAGATGCCGTTCTGGATAACATCGACGAGAAATTCGATCGACTTATTCAACATCTTCACCTTAACGCTATGAAAGATGAGAGTTCTAAAGTAGGAAGAGTCGTTTGTCTCCAGAAACATCCGGCCTGGTACATTAGCGTGGAATCAGTACAGACAGGCGATAAAAGAAACTCTTAATGAGAGAAGTGCAGCAGTTATGGTCGAATCTGCAGAGGCTACGAAAAGAAGCAGAGAGACGTGGGAAACAAAGGACCCGCATGGTGTGGTGGTGAACGCGTTACTCCCCGGAAAGGATAATAGCGCGTTCGTTCCCCACCATAGACACCTGCGGTCTAGAGTTTTGCAAATATCTCAGCAACGTTGTGGTTGTATTTCGCTTAGTAACCTGCCATGAAAATTATAGAAGGCAGAAAACAAAACGTTAAACGCTACGAAAAGAGTTCGCAAAGCCCAACGAAGCTTCGCCAATTACAAGACCAAGATGATTGCACACCGACGCTCAGACGGAACAGTCACCGCTTCCAGAAAGGAAATGGAGGAAATCATTGACGATGGTTTCTCAGACCTCTTCAGTGGCCATGGCTACGTCCACCTTCCGTCATATGAAATAAAGGAGGATGGATATGTTGTACCACCGGTTCTCCCTTCCGAAATCCGACATGCTATTTCGTCGGTGGAAAATCGAACAACACCAGGTCCGGACAGGATAAGATCAGAACACGTGAAGAACCTTCCATCATTCTACATAAACGGACTGGGTAGACTCTTCACACGTTATCCGTCTGAATGCAAGGTTCCTATTAGGTGGAAGACTAGCAAGACCGTGTTATTTTTCAAGGAGGGTGACCACCACAATATCCGCAACTATCGTAGAATCAGTTTGCTGTCTGTCGCCCACAAACTTTCCACTCGTAGTCCTAAAGAGGATTGCCAGAACACTGGACGAAGGACAACCATGTGAACAAGCATGGTTTCGAAAGGGATTTAGTACGACGGACCACATCCGCACGATAACAAGACTAACTGAAGCGTTACGAGAGTACAACAGACCGCTCTCTCTCATTTTCGTCGATTTACAGAAGAGCTTTGACTCAACTGAGATAGAAGTAGCCATGGAAACTCTCGACAATCAGCGGGTCCTACTCAGTATATAAAGATTGCACAACCAAGATATCAGTATTCAACGACGATATTGACGTCGACATCAAAAGAGGTATTAGACAAGACGATGCCATCTCGCATCTCGCCGAAATTGTTTGCCGCCACCCTCGAGAACGTCATGCGAACACTGGAATGGGACAACACGGGAATGAAAATCGATGGTAGGCAGTTACACCATCTTCGCTTTGATGATGACATCGTCCTTATAACACCAAAGATTAGCCAAGCGGAACGAATATTTGCCGACTTTGATAAAGCCTGTGGAAAAATTGATCGACTAAATCTCACAAAAACGATGTTCATGAAGAGCGGATTGGCTTCGTATGTCAAATTGACGCTCAACGGAACGAATATCTCCGAATGCTCCAGCTAGCTCTGTCGAGGTCGTAAAATCAACGTGATGAATAGCTTAGCTCCAGAGTTGAGCGGATGCGAGCCAACGGCTTCGGAGCATTAGAGACCATCGAGGATGTACTGAAGAGAACGAAGAACGCTTGACTCCATGACAAACTTTTCGACCCCACGTTTCGTCCACCTTCAACATATGCGTCGGAAACCTGGTCGCTGCATAAGCAGAATAAAAGATCACAGCGTTATTAAACCCACAGTCGAAAAGACGGTGATAGGAGCATCTCGTGTCACACAATAAAGGGAAGGGAACGGAAGCTCCGATCCTCGTCAGCGATCAAGTATCAAAGATGCTGTTTTATACCTCAAACTGTCGAAGGTAAGGTGGGCCAGACACGTAATGCGTATGAAGGACAACCGAAGGACAAGAGCCGTTAGTGACTGAATTCCTCCGAGTGCCAAACGTACTGCAGGAACACTACCGACGCGATGGTTCGAGTTCTTCATGGAAAGTCTGGAAGAAGGATGTTATGCTCAATGAGACTTATGTCATGACTTCCTTAGACCTAGCAAAACACATTGGGCTACTACTTTTGCACGCAATAGGGAAAAATGAATGATTTACGGGAGCCCACTCGAGTAACTCGAGGACCAAAGGGACAGTAGGTGGTACAGGAGATTCCACTACTTACCACATGTTGCTATGGTTCGCTATAGAAATGCATTGCTGTCAGCACCTATAACTATTTTACATACTATGTTGAGTCTGCTTCGCTATATCCCACACTCTATACCACAGCGCTTAAAATGGAATAACAATTAACTGTTAGCCTAATTACCGGTCTGTGTACTGCTTCGAAAGTGTTTATTGCAAATAATTGGATGTAGAGGATATCTTTTCTGTTCCCACCCTACTATTTTGATCTCCTTTCAACTAGCTATCGAATAGACAGAGTTCGGCAAAAACAATTATAGAACCTATTGAACTGAAAATTGTATACTATAATACTCATTTCGTCCTCTGAGCTAAGTACGTATAGGCACAATAGTGTTCATACCGCGCGTTACGAGTTAGAAAATCTTGCACTGCGTTATAACGTACAAATAAAATAAGAGACCACTAGTTATTAAAATTTATTCTAGTAATATGACAAACCAGGGTAATAAGTGTAGTTTATGTGTGATTCATAGCGTTGCCAGTGCTTGAGATTGGACTTCTCAAATGAATAATAGTTCACAACTTAACTCTGTACAATACTCATTATAAGTATGAAGGAACGATCAGCTACATGGACACGGATATGTTTATAAATACAAAACAAATCACTCAACAATGTTAAGCTTCCTTTTAACATGCTGGATTTCACCACTTCTGTGGCTCGCTTCCTTTCGACTAGTTGACCTTAACTGCATTAATTAAATGGCAATTAATTAATTTTATAGCAAGTTTGCCTTCAGACGTATTTTCTTCTTTAATTATAAAGCTTTGGTAAATTTAAAACGAACAATTGAAAGTAATACAAAACTAGTACCGCTACGAATATTTGATGTATCTATGTACTTCGCTGGATAGAAATTATACTTATTCTACTAGAAATCTACTCTTATTTTTGATACGTCCAAGTGGAACAGCCCAACAATACCTCAAGCTCCTTGCTTTAATCAATCCGTTAGCGACGGCTAGTTCAAATTCACGATCGGTCAGCTTGCTAGTATCCACGAAAGCACCGACAGCACCACGACGAGGAGTATAGGACACCTTCCCAGCAGCTGCTGAAAGTTGTTACACACGCTTATTTCAGAAAAAAGGAAAGAGAAGAGAAAATAAAAACGTTATGACTTGCGCCCTACATCTAGTAGGAGTCATTCCCTTTGATGTGGTAGACATATCGTTGAGAGTGTTCCCAATAGGTTTTGCGACAGAAACAAAATTGTCCGCCTTCCTTTGTTGGATTGTTCTTCTCGTTGGTGATTTCAAATCTCTCTAAAGGTCGACATTTATGAGTAGGGCAACGAACAATTTAGAAAAAAGCCCATTTATACAAACCTCATCACTAATCCCAGGAGGCTTAAGGTTAAATGATATTCCACCAGGACCCTGAATTTCTTTTATTTCAACAAACTATATTCTGGCAGAAACTGAACAGCAAAGTCTATACACCTGTTCTTCTTTTGAACTGAGAGTTCCAGATTTTCCAAAATTGACAGATGTTCCAGTGACAGACGCAATGACATTTGAACTCTCGGAAAACAACCTTAAAAACGTATTTCCAATAATAGATAACGTTGTGGAAGAATACTACAGAAAAATAAACATTCAACCATACAACAAAAAGTCAATTGGTCTCCGTTACTGAATGTGGAAGGAACATTAAGAGCTTGAAAACCAGAATATGATAAAAACTAACTCGGGCTTATTGGTAGATATATTCGCATTTCTGAGACGAAAAGGAATCCGGGTAGCTTTCGGTGTGGCCAGGCGCTACAAGTCATGTAATGTTAAAGTAGTAGAATAAAGATGTGAATATATATTTTACCACATGTCCAAGCAAAATGGAAATGGAGCAACAATGGTGCGGAATGAAGAAACGTGAAAAGAGACGAGCAAAATACGGTTTCTTTATTTTAAGACTTGTCAATATAACGCGATACTATTCTCTCTATGTAGAAAAATCTTGTAGTAATTAACACAAAGAAAACAGGTGTTTTATGGGTTAAACATCTAATTAAAGACGATTGTCATTTTGCTCGTAACCCTGAGACCTGCTCGCAATTGCTTAATTGACACTGCTAATCAAAGTTAGCTTACCAATATCACCTACGTTCTTATCATTTAAAAACTAATTTGAAGTTTCATACATTTGCCGCTTTGGGAACAGCCCTCATAATTTCTTCATGCCGACGTATTATCCTTGCCTGTCGTTCACCAAGAGTTTCCATTTTTGCAAAAATAGAAGCGTGATTTCGGGCAAAAAACTCGGAAGCTAGAACGATGAAGATAATGCCCATATCTCTGTACCAAAGAATTCTTTGAAGATATGCATAAATACTTTCTACTTGCCATTTCTAGTAGTTTTTTTGATTGGACGCGAGGACAATGGTAGACCATCAAGAACACCTCTTGTAGACTTCGCACGATACGGTAGCTTAGAGTTAAGCTTCTTATTCTTTCCACCACTGGTATCACCACCTTCTGAGTGCGACCCATTAAGACTTGGCAACAAGGTTACCTCGAAATAAGAAACATTTTTATCCGATATCACACTAGTTCCCACTTGAAAACGGTGTGAAAAATAAAAAAACCTTTCTCTGAACACTTCTAACAGCTGATGAGAATGTTTGAGAAGCAAAACTACCACGTGGCCTGATAGATTTATGAGTAGCCGGGTATTGAATTGTACCGACATCGCGCGGTGAAGATCTTTGTGACGAACTATTTCTGGAAGACAGAAATGGATTTGTCCTTGTCTACGCTCTCTGTATAAATGAAATATTAATTAAAGTGGTAGTACTGTTCAAAAAGCAACTGCTACGAGGAAGAGTCTACCAACTTTTTATCCTGTGAGTTGGACTTCAACTGAGTGTAGGTGTTCTCTACACATCCATAACAGAGCTCTCCAACATTTTCTTCTTCAGGGCAGTTTGTAACTAGACAATAAAGCTATCAAGTATTGTAAAAACAAATTTCCGTTGAAAATTAACATATGAGCTCACTAGAATTATTAGGACAAGATAAACAGCTTCACGCTAATATACTCGGTTGCATGAACTCACGTAATGTAAAACTGCGCAAACCTACCTGAACCAATTTCATTGTCGTTGCGAATTTCTTTACCTCAAAAATTACAAGTATTAAATATTCACTAATGAAATACAGACCTTTTTGATCAAGACTAAAGTAACACGAATATGACATGGGACAATCTGTGCGTAAGACCCATAGCGTTACAGTTGTTTATACCAAAAGGTGATAAACTAGTTACCGTCAGTAAAACGACGAGGCTTCTTCGAGAATATGGGAGTATGAGTATGATCAGCTTCAATCGTTACCGGATCACCTATAAAGTCGTTGAGAATAAGTAATTAAAGTGTTTGAAAATCATGTGAACCCTACCACTTTTTCTTCCAAACAGTTTTTGTTTCGAATGGCGGCTGCTCTTACGATGACCAGCATTAGTAAGTGAACGTGCATCGCACTGCGGAGTAAGTATGGCGTTCAACTGCATAGTTCCTGTAGATTTTTGATGAAAACATTGACCTGAGAGATAACCTAATCTATTCAAGGAAGCGAACAACTAATTCAAACATTAGACGTGTTTTGAAAGAGTTATTAGTGTGCTTTCACTTCCACCATACCTATATACCATTCCACCATACCGTACACCTATTATTCCACTTATTCCACGGTTTTAGTGACTGCGATGTACAGCAGGTGATTCATCCCCTTGGGACGGTCTACCATGCCAAGAAGGTGTCCAGCGTTCCCATCACGTAGCCCAGCTGAGAGTAAACGAATACCAGGGTTCATCACTGTCATGATATCAAACTAGTCGCATGGTCGCAAATCTTCCTCTGATCCACAAAAGTGGCGACTACCATTGATAGTGACGACCTGGCACAGCCTTGCTGACCTCGGGACTCCAGAGAACCACAGAGGGCAGCTAAACCAGTAAAACTGCGAAAAGCTGGAAATTATGCTAGAGCCCGCACAACCATTGAAGACGGGCCATCCAAGTAACCAAGTAAATTGGAAATGTAATAATTAGTTTTGGAAGTAGTAATAAAAGCAGACCAAACTATGCGCAATTATGTCAATATTAGCCGAAAAAAGGAAAAAAAATGTAAACTGTCCATATAAAAGAATACGGTTAGCACTATAAAAGAAGCATTTAGAGTTAGCACTTAGGCCTTGACTAGATGAGACCTTCGACATCTTTTACTGATTCCGACGTTTCGTTCATCCTTATGTAATTTCTTAGTTGATCTGATTCCTCCTTGTTATTTAGCTGTTTCTCCTCTTGTGACGAAAGTCCAACCTGTAAACTTTGTTCGATATATTCAACGTATATTATACATGTACAGTATACTATATTAGGTGTATTGCGCTGCATATCCATGGACCTGCCTTACAGAGGGATTTCACGCCGGTTCTCAGCGAGGCAATGTACCCAGTTGACTGCAAGAGGCGCAGCCAGATCCAGGGCTGGACTACTTGTTTTTGTTGCGTCGATTTGACACATACTTTCTATGTTTACGAGGACGTATGCATGCATGCGTGAGTGGATGAGATTTCGTTTGTGCTGACTGTATTTTACGAGCTAATTCGGCCAAAAGCCTGCGATAAAGTGATTGGAACATATACGGCAAGCGGAATGGAGTCACCTCTAACAAATAAGTTCCGGATCTGCTCTAGGGGATACCGGCAAGTTACCTGTTGGCATACTGAACCCTAACGCTCAGAACTCAGTAAGCTGTACGTAGATATCGAAAGCTGAATTCAGTAAAATAAACGGTCTTCATTCTCCTACCAATGAAAAAGCCCACGAAACTACAGCGCTGGGAAGCACGAGTATGGAAAGGGTGTTGAACTCTCAGAACAATTTTAGGATGCCTAAATCACAAAGAGCTAAGGTGACGCGTACTTACATTGCACGTACACTTGCATCTGAGCCCTCGATAGAAGACTGATCATGCAGTCAAGAAAGATAAGGTATGACATCACAGAACAGACTGAGACAAGAAAACGCCACTCCACGCCATCTATGATATCAAAGAAAAATTGTGCCTAGGAACATGCGACGGTAGAGGAGCCGGCGGAGCTAGCGTTCTCATCACGAGCTTATCTTGAACATCGATTCATTGGAACAACTAACAATCCGAATCGGACGTTTACGATTAATGAGATGTGGGTCGATACCGGTCTTGCCAATCTTCTCTTTTACACACCGATATCGAGTATGAAGAAGACGACTTCCATGTATTCTATATGGACTTCCAGAACCTCTACAGAAAAGACCGTACATTCTTCAAGATCACCAATGGAGATTTTAACGCTGAGACTGGACTTAGAAGAACGTCTGAAGAATATCACATTCAGACCCATGGACTAGATTGGAACGAGCAGGGTTAGCGGCTGTCTGAGTTTATCATAACGGCCAAGACCATTCATGGTAGCATGCAATTCCAGAAGCTCCACTCTCAAAGCTGAACGTGGGAGTCTCCCAATGGAGAGTACCATAACGAAATAGACATCATAGTAAGTAGAAGGTTTTGCCAAACCGATTTTCCTGTTGTCCCAAAATTCTACACGGGATCAGGCCATCGCCTCCTTTGAGCAAAGTTCCATTTCTCGCGGAAAGGAGAAAAAACCGCTAAATTCAAAAAACGAAGTCCTAAACCCACCATAAAGTGGGATTTAATCAATTCAGTAGTCAGCTTTTGGGAAGAAGCCGTTCTGGATAACATTAACGAGGATTACCGAAAAAAAGACCGGGTCATTCAACATCCTCACGTTAGCGCTGTGAAATCGGAAATATGAAAGCCACCAATAGGCGTCTGTCTCCAGAAACACTCAGCTACAGGAAACCGTCAACTCACGTCCGAAGTTGCAAAACAATGCAGGCAGTAGAAAAGATCTTAAAGAGAGAACATTAACGGTTCTGGTCGAAGCTGCAGAGGACGGAAAAAGAGGTTCACCGAAGCCTCGCCAATTACAACATCAAGGTGATTGCACTTCGATACCCAGATAGAGCAATTATCAGCTTCTAGAGGGCACTGGAAAAAACCATCCACGATTACTACTGGAATCTTTTAAATAGGCACGAACCTCACAAGGAAAGGAGGATGGATATGTTGCACTGCCAATCCTATCTTCCGAGGTCTTCTTCCTTCCGGAACGAATGCTTGCCAACTTTAATATCGCATGTGGAAAGACTGTTTGATTAAATCTCACAAAAACGTTTTGATGAGGAACGGAATGGTTTCGTACCTCCCATTCACGCTCAAGAAAACGAATACCTCCAAATGCTCCAATTATGTTTATTAAGGTCGGGGAATCAATATGATGAACGATTTAGCTCCAGAGCTGAGCAGAAGGAAACGATCGGCTTAGGGAGCTTCCAAGAGCATCGAGGATGTAGTGAATAGAACAAAGAACACCCGACTCTGTGCCCACCTTTTCGACTCAACAGTACTTCCTGCCCTGATGTATGTGTCAGAAACCTGGTCGCTGCCTAAGCAGGATGAAAGTCACTCAGCGTTATCGAACGTGCAGTCGAAAGGATGATGCTAGGAGTATTCTGTACCACGTAATTGAGAGAAGAGGTCCGAAGTTCCGATCTGAGCCAACGATCTGCGTATGAACGACAACCGATGGATGACAACCGTTAGTGACTGGATTCCTTCGCATGTCAAACGTACTGCAAGAAGACCATCTACATAGTGGTCAGAGCTTTTCCTAAAAATCTTGGAAAAAAGACATGATGCTCAATGAGTTCCTAAAGGAAGCAAGACCCACTGCGCTAATCTTGAACGCGACAGAGAAAAATGGAAGATTTACTGGCGCCTGCTTGAGTCACTCGACGATCAACCGCACATGTGATGTAATTTTACACTGTAATACTTTTAGTTCATCTTTATGCAAAATAAAAGTGTCTGGGAATTACGCTACATTACAGAATTATTCCTCTAGCGGTGTCATTGAAATATGAGCACGAACCTCCATCGGTATGGTTAACACCTCGAATACTGGGTGAGTATTTTCCTGATTGGGTATAGAATCTTCCTTGTTTTTACTGTCAGCAATGAACTGAAATTATAATGGGTAAATCAGTGGTATGTCATACTCGACTTTCAGCAAATACCATATCACTATGAAATACCATGATAAAAAACTATCCTAAAAATATCAATTTTAAAATGCCTTTCTCCGATGAACTGTTCCTGGTCCATGTTTTGAAGCCTTCCAGAGTTCAATGTACGACAAACTTTCAGTGGTATCGAATTGTGAAGCATAGTGGATCTTCATCATATCACAAGGTCAACCATTTTGAGCGAATTCGACCTTTTTGGCCAAGGAACCAGAATCAAAACTTATGTGGGTAGTTAAATGTGGGAGCTACAAGTTCAAACTCCACGTTCAATAATAGCATACTTCTGGGACTTCAACGAATATTGGGCACATAACAAAAGCTAAATATTGCACTGCTAACATATCTAAGCAGTGTTGAGAGTGCGAAAAGATTTTTATACAATGTGAAACAAAAGCAATAATTGTAATTGTAACAGTAGATAATCACGAGGACAGAAAATCCAAGAATATATGCATATATACATCTATATATACATATATATACACTTGTATATGGAACAGAAGACAAAACAAACCTTCTCAAGTCTAGTAATAAGCTCCGCCTTCCTACCAACAGTAGGTAGTTGACGCTTGCGAAGCTCTTTTTGCAAATCTTTCACTCGGAGATTAGATAGAAGTTTTCCGGAAGGTAGAGCTATCTCCGACTCCATATCTGAAAACAATCTATCAAGACATTAAACGATAAAACTGTCCAAAGATTGTAGGAAAGCACATTACAAGCAACAATGCGGAGAATAGCAAAGAAATGATTAACTGGATGAGAAAAAAAAGTACGACGCCGTTTTGAATTCTGCGATTTCGCGCCGAACACCGCTGGGAGCACAGTGAAACTCGCCCAATTCAGTAGCATTTAGCCCATAACTGCACAGCAGTTGGATCGGTGCGAGCATCGAATGTAAGGAAGTTTTAACCAGCTTAGGGTGTTACTCACATAAGTTGCCCTCAAGGAAAACCACCAGTCGTGATGGGATGGCGATTAGTGAATGGTACCGATCACTACTACAGCCACATGTTTACTGTGCTTTGAAATGAATGCAATCAGAGCTTTAATGATAGGTTATAGAAAAGGTAACTTATGTCACGTATTCTTTATCCAATCAGTATTTCTACTGACCTGCCCCTTTTCGTAATCAGTCAATTGTCGCTGCATATTGTGCTGAGAGATATTTGTGTGTACAAATGGATAGGATGGGAACGCTCTAGCTCAGCTGTCACACGACTCCCAAGTGAGTCGACTTGACCAACATTCAACGACGTTCATAAGGAAGGTGACAATTCTCAAGCAGAAATCGAACTCAGACTTAGAAGGTTCGCCTACCTCTGTAGATGATGGACACGTGGGATGAATGGAGTGCAAGTGCTGGGATCCGCACAGTACGTGTGAAAACGGGTCGTATGATGCAAAATAGGTTTTAAAAGTAGATAAAAGGTCGTTCCAAGTGTGAATTCCAAACGCCGTGAAGGGTCCTTCTTCCGGAAACCCACATTTACGCCATTGTCCCGTGATCTTAGTTCTACCTATGGCAGGCTTTAGATGACCCCAGATTGTGATGTATGCCACGGGCGTAAGATTTCTAGACAGATCCATCTTTCAAGCCGACTTTACTTCAATCGCAGTGTGACTAATCAACATGTTTTCTTATGTATAGAATGCAAATCCACATCTTTACCACTCCCACAGTACACCACCACAATACCTTCTTGGGACTTAGAAGAGGGCATTGTCAACTTAACAACGTAGTACTTGTACTAATCTACCAGCTAAATTTAAGACTTCATTCCTTAGTATCCAACTAGTTCCTTGGTTTAAGCCTCGCAGTATTACCAACAAAGGCATACTCGTCGTTGACGATCGTACGTAATTACGTCTTTGGTATCAGTTTTACGTAATCCAAAAATTTAGAGAAGCGTTACACACCATTCTATATCCACACCGCCATTATTGTTTGTTTGCATTTTATTCGTAATTAATCCATGAGTTTTACAAGAGAGAGAGTTATTGCCTATGTATTACTCTGTGCGGTGGCTGTCCATCAACTAACTTAAATACTTACAACAAATAAACGGCTCTGAAGAAGGCGAAACCGCCGAAACGTCATATATTGTATTCTAATAAATTCTATATTAACAACCTCGTGTCTACTTATTGAAGAAAACATCGAGTAATCTATGAGTGTTTGATTAACAGGTACGAATAATTTTTTCGCAGATGTCTCTCACTACGAAACTTCGTCGTATCCGCAAGCCACCACCAGAAGGATGGGATCTCATCGAACCAACACTGGAGGAATTCGAAGCGAAGATGAGGGAAGCGGAGACCGATCCACATGAAGGAAAGAGAAGAACAGAAACATTATGGCCTATCTTTAGGTTTGTATTCTGTTGCAGAATATGAGAGCAGCATGTAATCAGGAAGTCTGACTCGATTTTCGTACGAAAAATTAGCGCTTTGATAGTTATCTGTACGCTTTGGAGCAGTGGCCGTTGGAATATTTAATTTTAGGATTCACCATCAACGGACAAGATACATCTATGACCTGTTTTACAAGAGAGAAGCCATTTCGCGAGAGCTCTACGATTTCTGTCTTGCAGCGAAGATTGCAGATGCTCAATTGATTGCCAAATGGAAGAAGCAAGGCTACGAAAATCTATGTTGCCTTAGGGAAGTGACTTCTTTTTTCTTACATTGTCGACGGTTAACTCCGGTTTTTGCCAAGTAATAATTTTCTTTTTCCACTTGATTAGTGCTATATCTGGCTTGTAACCCTACATCGTTTACCTGATTGACGCACCGTTTTAGGTGCGTTCAGACAAGAGATACGAATTTCGGGACCAATTGTATTTGTCGTGTCCCGAAGAGTAAACTCGATGCGGAAAGGGTGATCGAATGTGTCCACTGTGGTTGTCGTGGTTGTTCTGGATGATGTTTCATTTTGTACGATTTCTGTGATCTGTGCTGAAACACTTGTATAGATAAATTTGTTTACTTTTTTGTCCACATCTGTTTCAAACGACTATTGCGTTCGAATCCTTCCTACCATTGTTTTTCTTTCTTTGTTTCTTTTTTCATTGTTCGGCTGTGTTCGATTTGTTGCTTGACTGTCATAGTAGGTTGAAAAGAGTCCACATATTAGGTCAGTGGTAAGCTGCTTGGTTCAGATGGAAAGCGATTTCTTTCCTCCTTTCTCACGTAACGAAACCTTTCCACAGCTATGCGATGGTGTTAACGTTGGTTATGAACCTAGGCGGGGGAAATATGTTCGTGTGAGTTATTTCCGCAATCTAATTCGAAGTGCTCGTTTTTTCTGTGCTTTAATACTCAGTGAAGTAGCTTTATTACAGGCTACTCGAGACATACCGTGTGGAGAAGTTGTGTGTTTAGATGTTGGGAAAGTAATAAGCCTTGACCCAGGCTTATGTTCTTATTGCCTTAGTAAGCTTCCACCTAATCGTATGCAAAGGTAAGGTTGGGGTGTTTTGCAAACATTCTGGTTCATTGGCAAATAAAGTACTCTATTAATTAATTGACATTTGACATACTTATAGGAGACACATCGTACTATCGTTTTTAGAATCTACATCGTTAGTGGAAAGTATTTTTGTTACAAAAAATTTTGGAATTCGAATTTTTAAAGTAGTGGGACGTTTGGAGATCCAAACATTTTAATGCATGCAAGGCCATCACACACCTTGGTGAAGTACCTTGAGACTTCATCGTACTGGATAAAATAACCCTTTTTTATTCGCATTACTTTTCAAGATACGTGATATGTGAAAGATTCTCGTCCTTTATAGATCATCATGAAACAAAGTTAGTGACTAGTTGACAAAGTTGAGTAAGCTGTAGTAGTTTTTATTTCAACTGGTGGATATCGGAATCCAAGTTATTTTCGGCAAATTTGAAATCAGTTCTTACCATCTAAAATGTGTTCATGAATCCCGTAATCATCGAATACTTTTAGTTTATGACTTGGCGTCAAAATTTGTTGCGCGGACATGTTGCCATTGTGAATTTACAACTGAAAAGATCTATAATTCTAAATTCTATAAACCTGGGCATAATAATCGATATGTCTGTATATATGTTCCTACGAAATGTCCTTTTTTAGCCAACGCGAGGTTGGTGTAGATGTTATATCGCTGTTGTCTTTGTTCAATGGCTGTTTCGGCGACTTCATCCTCCTTAGAGTCAGCGTTAGACCACCCGTGTGTTGTTCACGAGGGATTCATCTGAGGAAGAGTCTAAGGAAAGCGAAGTCGCCGAAACGTCAGCCATTGAACAATAACAGCAAAAACAATAAGAACATCTATGTCAACCTCGCGTCGGCTAAAAAAGGCAGTTCGTAAGCACATACATGCAGGTATATTGAATTCACAACCTTTCTAGATACTGTGAGGACTGCAATGATCTCGATAAATTTTATGGGCCGTTCGAACAGCCGTTTATGGAAAAGTTAAAGGTGAATGAATAAGTTTTATCCTTCTACATTGATAGTTGCAATAAAAAAGTGGTACAGAAGGTTTGAGTTCACGTTCATCGTACGTGAGTTGTTGACCCTAAAATTTTCGTCACGATGCAATTTTGTTTTCTATCTCTGTCATGAAGCTAATGATTCGCTTCAAATTCAAGAACAGATCATTTTCAGTTCTGAGAAGGCCTCACTTCACAACTTTGAATTTCTAGGATCTTGGGATGTTTCGTTTAGCCGTACATTTAGTACTTTCGTACTCATCGGAGGAAATAGTTACTTACCTGAAGAATGAAGAATTTAGAAAAGGTGGTTTATTAGAACAAATCTTCGTACATCCTTGTCCAATTACTATTTTTTCTTTCGACTAAATCTCATATTAGTATTTTGTTCCATTAAAATCTGTAAAACGAAGTAGCGAAGGAAGTTCTCGCTTTTCGTTCTCTGTGTACAGTATTTTTATACTTATCCCATGTTACTAGGAGGTCTATTCGAAGTTGCTGCAGCAAGATCTGATTCCTTAGCAGCAGCACTATCCCTTCAAGCTGATACCTATCCTATTGACTTAACTGCCACGGATAGTTTAGTCACAGATATTGTGGATAGACTAGATAAGGTATTTGCTTCTATTTTTCTGTCTGGGAATAGAACGTAGCTATAGAGCTTATGCGGCTAACTTTAGCATCCTCATTGGCGAGCGATATCTCCGGCTCACCGGCTGGAAGCATTCAGAACGCTTTTGAAGCTGATCTCCTGCCGCCTTATGTTGAATGCTCATTCTATTTATTCCGTGAATAGACTTGAAAGTCGTCCAGCGTTTGTTTCTTTCAAAGCACTTACGATATTCTCCATTGCTACTTTATCTAATCGCCTATTTAGGAATGTACAAACGGGAAGCACTACGCCATCAGGTGTCGGTCTTTTCCCAACAGCCAGTTGGTTCAACCATTCTTGTCGTGCAAATGTAAAGAGTTTGTACGTGTCCCTTGTTGATTTAAATGTTGTTGAATACACGCGAGAGACCGGAATGTTTGCTTAGCTTTCATGGTAACAAATTGATCTTCATTAGTATGGGTATTCGGAAAGGAGAGGAAGTTTGCGACAACTATGGTGTTTCTTTTTTTAAACATACGAAGAAGGAACGGAAGGTGACTTACTGGCAATACAGTGGATTTTGAACTGATCTACCCCAACTCTATTCCCCGCTGTTTCATCTCCGACTTTTTAGGATTTTTTGGCTGGCCGTGGGTTCACTTGTGCCTGTTCAGTATGCGTCGCAAATGATTCTATTGATGATATGCTAGAACCAATCATGGAGCGTCCGGACGTATGTGTGCTCAATTTGAAGTTGTTTTAAGACGGGCAAGATTTTAGTTTATTTAATTTACAGTTAATTCTAAAGGTACTTCCAAACGTTGAAGACTACAGAAGGTGTCGTAGCACATTGCCTGATGGCCACAAAATTATTGAGACAATAGCGGAGATGTATGTAGGATCTATAGGTGGAGATGGTTGGTTCGATTTTTTTCCCAACTTTCATTTGTGGGTTTTGTATTACTAAGTTAATCGGAAATACTTATTAGATCCTAAACAACGGCTTTTCCTCTATGGAGAGATTCTTGAATGTCAGCGTCGTCGTGGACTGCATTTCTCTCCGGACCAAAGAATGTACACTGATTTCTGTTATTGTTAGAGTTTATGATATTGAAGAATTCCTTTTTAGTTAGAACACTTCTTAATACAGTTTTGGCAAACTATGATGCCATGTTGAAATAGTAAGTTGGTTTTTATGTCATCTCTTCCTCGTTTAGCAACATAGATTTGTTTTGAAACGAACTGTCTTTTGTTTAGTAGTCCAAAAAGGCAGCGGTATCTTCACAATATGCAGATCCAGCTCTTTGCAGCCTTGTTGCGAATGAGGACATTTTATGGGAAGCTGTACCCAGCCTTCTATGCTGCACAGGTAACAATTTTTTGCACGGCATGGAATGAATGCCTCAGTATCTTTTTTTGCATTACCTATTCGAGTGCAAAATTTCCTTTCAGTCAGTAGCAGACCAGTTAGTGGCAATGCAAGAAACCGGATTACGAGCGGATCTTTCAGATGCGATTACAAAACTTCGTTCCATCGTTGAAGACTTGAAACCAGCTTTACCCAAACTTGAGTAGGTCACCGTAGTATCGCGACATTGGCATCGCAGTACGGCCGCATGCCTCTATAGCTTGGAGGAGTTGCTGGTTTTCTCAACATTTTGTAAGTTCTGTAGCAGAACATAGAGAAACTAAGTAGAATCTGCATTCCCGTGATCAAATGTGGTCTATATCATGAAGCTTTGTGTGACTTATAGTTTCGTGATATACAATCGACTATGCATGCCTATCATTTTTTGTGTAAAGAAGACCATTCTGATTGCGCTTAAGATTGCCTCACCTTGTTTTATTGCGACCTTAGTGAATTCTTTGTAGCAGTAACTGTGTACCTTGCATGTCTAGGAAGTTTAGATTTTTACACAATGCGTAATGTCAGCAAAACAAGAAAAAAAACTGCAACGTTCTCAGCAGTACGTGATACTGTATGCTGTGGTGGGAAAAAATGTACCACAGAGAAGACCGCAGTTTCAGTTTCAAGAATAACCGCCGTAAAAAGGGTGTACTTCTGTGATCTATAATCGTTCACAAACACTAGTTAATAGTGCGTAGTGTTCAACAGGAACAATGGTCCTTTTTTTAAAATCACTATTTGATATCCGGTGGTGCTGATGGCACTGGTAGACAGAAAACTAGCTGAGAGACAGGCGAAACGAAGGACCCGTATAGTGTGGCGGGGAACGCGTTAGCCCTAGGAAAGGTAGTAGTATCGTTCCCCACCGTAGATATCTGCGGTCCGGAGTTTTGCAAATATCTCAGCTTCATTATGGTAATTGTTGATACAATTACGATGAAAGGCTTGTCTGTTACGTTTGAGGAGATTCATGTCTTTATTCTTATGTTAACGGAGATCAATGCTTCTATTCTTCTATTTTTGGAAGATGTGATTTAGAGCTGGGAGTTCTGTCCTCTACACATCCTTGAGTGGTCGGAGGTTCAACAGACACATCGTCTGTGTCGGTACGCTTTTCAAACGGAAAAAGTGATCCAAAACGGAGGTGTTGAACAACAGGAAACTTTTTCAACACCTGCAATACAAATGCATATCGCACCTTTGTGTATGGGGATGTTAAGCATTAAAAGTAACTTACCTCCCCTTCATACATTTTAAAAAGACCACTGTTAACCTTCGTCCATTTAGGAACCGCAGATATATTCCATAGCTGATTAGAATGTTGATAGAAAGGACCAGTTTTGGTCTTAAAAATAGTTGGTGCATAAAAATTTAAGGAACGTTTGATTTTATTGCTTAAGTCTGTGGCGGCATGCAACCCAATATGAGAGAAATCCCCACCTGGTTGATGAAGTTTACGCAATCAAAGAACAGGTATTTATGTGCATTGGCTTCAACAGTTGAGGGGTTCAGATACGATTCAGGTACCAATGATTTATTGTCTGGAATTGATTATTGTTAGACGGAAGGCCTAACCATAACAAGCTATGCTTCTGTGTCAATATCACTATGCTGAATAAATCTGATAGAAACTCACTGGTAAGTTGGGCACTTCCCCAAAGGAACGGAATGAATTGGAAGTCATCGATTGAATGTACACCATGACTACCAGCTGGTTCCACTTTATAAGTAGTTTGTAACGATCGACAAAGATATAGATACCTGTACATAAGAGATGAAACTATCAAGGCTCTTTAAAGTCAAAGTGATGTGTATACTAACTTTACAAAGACTTTAAGAACTACCGCCTTATGGTCGTTGTTTGTGAAAAATCCAATTCGGTACAGGCAGAGAAGAAAAACGACAAATGACAATTCATGACCTGCAAGCAATTTCTTGATATTTTGGTGGTGTGTATGGAAATAACTAGGAATAAGCGAACATAGCCGAAGTCCCGAGGTCAGCCAACCAAAGTGCCCCCAGTCGTCACCACCATAGGCAGTCGCCGTCGCTATGGATCAGAGGGAGATTTGCCACCGTGCGACGGTGGTGGGTCCTGGCATTGGTAACTGTTTGCTACGACTGCATAGAATCTTGAATATCTGGATATTCGATCATCGCTACCTGTGTGTGCGCTACCAGACTTTCCTTCCAAGACGCAACGACTACTCGTACAAGCTCAAGTTTGGATTGAACTCATGGTAGAGATATGGAATCCTTCAGCTTCGTCCACTCTACTAAGAGAACGAATCCATGACATATATCGTACTTCAACACTCGAGAACAAACTCCAACACCAAATATGTGTTTGGCCGTTATTTTACTAATCTGCTGATACTCCATAATAAAAGCATTCTCAGAAGATCCCTACTACTTGTCCTACTTCTATCTAAGAAGCTAACCTGACCCATAGTCGATACGCGTGGAGTTCCCGAACGAATCCGTCAGGTAGGCGCATAACTCTAAGCATGCAGGTTTCAGTTCCTGTGGCAGTATGTTGGACACGACACTATTTAACTCCTAAACAGAAATGAAAGTCACGCTTGCTAAGCAGAGGGTGTGAACGGAGCTTACCTTTATCAAGTGGTCATACCACTTCCGAAATGACTTATTTCCATATCTCTGATTCATCGAGTCCTCCGGTGGATAGAGATCCATCCAGCTCTCAATTTGAACAAGACATTTAGAGGGAAAGATGAGAATATCGAACCTTATCTCACCATCATTGTATCCAACATATCGATAACCTTGATGATATTTTCACTTACAAACACATCGTCACACGTCTTAACGTTCAGAACAGCATCGTTGAGCTCGTGAAGAAATTTCATCAGCAAGCTGTATCCCTGCATAGAACGAAACCCGTCGTATAAAAGCTAACATTCAGATGATTTCAAAACAGAGTCTGATGACCAGATTCTTCTTAAACGCGTACCTCAGAGAAGTAAAAAGGATTCATATCGAAAATTTTGAAAATCCGCTGAGTTGGTTCCACATAGGTGTGATTCTGTGTGTCTATAGTCCTCATTCTGAAATCTAATACAGTAGAAGAAAGCAGAAAAACGGAAAAAAGTGAACTGACCCAATATTTTTCAATATAATAAAAAGGATAGAGCTCTTGGCATTTAACAATCCCTGAGGGATGCGGCATGCATTCGACTTCACTAAGCATCGTTGGAGGTTATTGAACGGATATCTGGCCTCCACCGCGGTGGCCTACCGATATGTCGAGCCAGTGCTGCTATCCTCCCAGATAAGTCTGGTACCAATTCGCCGACCCTGGAGGGTTGGAGGGCTTGGTGAGCCTGGCGCGCAGGATCGATCCCATGTGTATTGCAGGGCACCTCTAACCACTGCGCTCTTCAATATAATACAATGTATGAATTGATCCATATTAAATTATCCTACGTAGAACGGATGGATCAAATCCAATGTTGACTCAAATGAGTTAGCTTAGCTAAGCCAAGGATTAGCTTGAAGGTTCCGTCCGTGGAATTCTCAATGGAGCGAACTTCAGTAATAAACAAATTAGCATAGCCGGGAGGATTCTGCTCGTCGGGCTCAACGTGAATCAGTTGTGCAGTTGAATTGTCAATTCTCGAAGACAAAGTCGGATTTTCTGTCAAAGTGATCTCAAAAAATTGTGTGATATCCCGTTCGTTTTCTTCCCCATTTTTCATTAGCTATGAAGAAGTATCCAGATATTGTATTCAACATTCAAGTCGCGGTTTATGTTGTTTGTGGACAAGTTCCTCATTCGTTTTTCTGTTGAACATCTTCGTACGCATAGTTGTTTCTAGAAGTTTTTCAGCTTAGGGTTAAGTCTATTCACATTATTTAGGCCGACTAACTGTCCTATGTCAGTTGTGGGATCAGCAGTCAGTCGATCTCGGGTCCTAGCTTTATACAAGAAGATATTAAGATTAGGTAGTACTCTTCGATGAATGTTTTTGTCGAGAGTAAGACTGTGTAACGAAATGGTTGTGGTTTTTAGGAAGGAACTGGAAGGCCAAGGATCCTGAGCGAACATTGAAGGAGAGTGAAGACATATTGCATGAGGCGAAGAAGACATTCCGAGACAACCTTAAGGTTGTTTCTTGCTATACTGTTATATTTCATTCATTTTCATCCTATTCATATGAGCGCATGTAGCGCAGTGGTCAGAGGCGCCCTGCAACACATATGGGATCGGTCTACCCGCCCCGAGCCCACCAGCCCTCTATCCCTCCGGGGTCGGAAAATTAATACCAGACGTGTCTGCGAAGTTAGCAGCACTAGCTCGATATATCGGTAGGGCACCACCAGTCATTGTAAAAGGCCAGATATGCCTTCAATCACCTACAAACGATGCTTAGTGAAGAATGCATGGCGTATCCCTCAGGAATTAAACAACGCTGAGGACTTTATCCTTTCTTATTTATGCTATTATTTTCTGATTCGAAATAATGAGTCTTGTTGATATGCTTGTAGATTGTAATTTACAGGTGACCGATCCGAAACGGATAGCCGAGTTGATTTTGTTAGCAGAGAGACGTCTTGGTCAAGCCGAACACTATGGAATCCCATACGATCGGCCTGATTACGTCGGGCCTCAAACAGCATATAGTGAGCTCATTTTTGTGTGATACTTAAAAGTCATCAGTTGCTAGTGTTATCGCAAAATATAGCACTTTCACTGTTTGTAAAAATCGTTCTGTGGAGTCCGAATGTTGTTCCAAGGAGCGTTTAAAACACAAGAGAAGGTTACAGATGTCAACATCGCAAATAGGAAGTTCACTAAAGTTACCCTCAAACAACGCAACCAGTAGCTCTGGTATATCCGCAAATGGATTTAATTCGGTAAGCTTAGTGTAAGTTGGATAGGTTTTATACATTATTTATAGTATCACTTTATTTATCATTTATAGTAACAAGTTGTTATCACCGGACATTATCATTATATCCACCATCAGCATCGTGTATAAAAGGGCATCACTGAGTAAGGATGCCTCATTGGAGGAGATGGCTCACTGAAGAAGACCTAACTCGACACGAAGGCGAAGCTGCCACGTCGAGACGAATAACAGGGGCCATCGACTCGGATCATCGGCTCTGAGGAAGACGAAGACGTTGAAACGTTAGCCGAAAATGAACATCATTATCAACCTCGTGTGAGCTCATCAAAGAAAGAATACATATTGATTAGTGATATCGAGGTTCAAGGAAAGTCGGTTTCGAAATATTACTACGCTTTGTGATTTTCTTCGTATTTTTGTTGAGCAAACGCGAGGTGTTATTATAACACATGTTATTATATTAACACATTATTACGCTGCCATGTGTTATTATAACATTATAACATAATAACACCTCGCGTTTGCTCAACAAAAATACGAAGAAAATCACTTGATCAATGCCGAGGTTAATAGAAAGTCGGTCGTGGCAGTTACTACGCTTTGTGCTAGCTGATAATAACGCCGACTAGTGCACGATGTACGCGATGATTATGTCCCGGAGAAAAACAAGTTGTTATCACCGGGCATTATCATTATATCCACCATCAGCATCGTGTATAAAGGGCATCACTGAGTAAGGATGCCTCATTCGAGGAGATGGCTCACTGAAGAAGACCTGACTCGACACGAAGGCGAAGCTGCCACGTCGAGACGAATAACAAGGACCATCGACTCGGATCATCGGCTCTGAGGAAGACGAAGACGTCGAAACGTTAGCCCAAAATAAACATCATTATCAACCTCATGTAAGCTCGTCAAAGAAAGAATACATTATTTATATCTTTCGATTTTTGTTCAGCAAGCACGAGGTGCTATTTTATTTCCTTATTTGCGCACAAGCTGACGTTTGGGCGGATTTCGCCTTCGCCTGTTTAGTTTAGCGTTTTCTCTGTTTGGTTATGGAGGTGTTTGGCCGAATGGATTGCTGTCAACTTGACCCTTCCAGGCTCTGAGGAAGGCGAAATCCGCCAAAATGTCAGCTTGTGCGTAAATAAATAAAATAGCAACTCGTGTTTGCTGAACAGAAGTAGAAAGATATATTCAATCAATGCCGAGGTAAATAAAAAGTCGGACTTGGGAGTTACTACATTATTTATAGTTAGAGAGATCATTACCTACTTGACTACCTGGACGGCCCGTTCTCACTGGTTGTGCAAAGCCCATCACATCGTCGATTTTTTGGAGTTTTGCTGGTTTAGCCATTGTGCTTCCCTAGAGTGCAGAGGTCAGCCTGGTCAAGGTTTGCCTCGGGTAGTCACCACAACAGGTGGTCGCCACCTTTGTAGATCTGGATCAGAGGGAGATTTGCCACCAAATGACTAGTTTGATGCCAGGACGGTGGCGGATCCTGATATTGGTTTATTCTTAGTTAGGCGTGCTGGTGGAAACGCCGGACCCTTTCTCAGCCCGACACCCAGGAACACCTCCCACCCACGGTGAAGCGATAAACCGTTGGAAGGGAAAGATCATTGGTATTACAAAATTGGGAGACTCAACATGCAACTCTTTTTAGGTGTCATTGTCTTTTACTCGTTGTTATTTCTCTGCTTCAAAGATTTCGGAAGAAACTATAATCGATCTGGTTATATTGTTTACTGAAAATACTCAGTTCTATATTGATTTCGTACGAAGCGTTCTATGTAATGATCTGCTTGACGAATATCCACTAAAGAGAAGTTATCGTCGGAATTTGTTGAAACTACTGATTGATAAGGTATAGTGCTCTCTCTTCCAAATTTTGTTCTCTCGATCACTTTGCTAATATTAGTTAGAAGAAAACGGCGTAGAGGTCGCAGATGAACTGTACAAGGTTTGTGCTAACTGCATGGTGGATTCAATGGAGACTTGTTTTCGGATATTCTTAAATGATGATCTATCGGAAATATTGGTTATCATTCGCGAATCAACTCAGCAGTTATGTTACGGCACAACTGGGCTTGCACTTTGGCAGGTTTGTTTCTTCAAATGTCTTCAACTGCTTGTTCCATGTTTTTGCATCTCCCATTGGCATATCCTCCTATTTATGGCTCTTAGGCATCGTGTGATTTGTCAAATTTACTTTGTCGTTTTTTCGATCTCACAGGCACCATTGTATTGGAACTTGGCGCAGGATGTGGTTTAACAGGTGTGTCTTTAGTTTATCTTATCGTTTTCACTTTGTGATTTAGAGATGTCCAGCCTAGGTATTGCAATTGCGAAAACCTTCCGCGGATCTTCTGTAACGCTGTCTGACTGCGATCCGAACGTTTTGAATCAGTTAATGTTTAACGTTGAAACAAATGCTAATGAGGTTGTTATTCTTTTGCAAAATAGTTTTGAGAGTGGGTTGAGACATAGCCGGAACGAAGGACGCGCATGGTGTGATGGTGAAGTTAGTCCCCGAAAAGGGGAAAAGGGAAAACCGTTTGTTCACCATAGCAGACACCTACGGTCCGGAGTTTTGCAAATACCTCACTGTCGCTGTGGATGTATTTTTGAAATTATTCTATGTTTAGGTCACCACAGTTGGCTTTGCATGCTAGGAAAATTTTGGGGCAAAGACAAATTAAGCTAGTTAATAATTCTGATGTGATTCATCGAATTTGATTTCAAGAAGTGCCTGTCAGTACAAGTGCTGAACATTGACTGGACGTCCTTCACTTTGTCTCAGTTGTTCGAGATTCCAGACGTTGTTGTAGCAGCAGGTATTTGCTTTCGGTGGTGATCTTTGGCTTAGAAAAAGACTTGATGAGTAATTTTCTGTAGAATGCTGTGTATTATGCAGAAAATCACTGAATCTCCTTCTAGACGTAGTATACGATTGTTCAATGTTTCCTGCATTATGCCATGTTCTTCGTCAGTGTCTCTCAGTTAAGAGGAAATCCCGTGCTTATATCGCATGTACTGTGCGCGATCCATTAACATTGAATGCTTTCAGAGAAGAACTAGGTAAGGAAGAAACTTTTCTGGGGCAGATTTGGTCTAAAATTTTCTGTTTTAGGCTCTCATTGTCTCAGAATTGTTGACGAAGTGCTATATCAGGACGAGGCATTTTTATTTCCTGATGGCTCCATTTACAAATGTGTATCTCTTTTTCCCTACTCGTCCACATTGAAAGCTCCTACGGTTATATTTGAGGTAGTGTATAGAGACATGAGCAGTTAGTTTTACAGCCATGGTTTTGTACGTTTAATTATTTGTCATTTCTTCTCAATTTACCCTTCCCGATGTTAGTTTATCTCTATTGTTAGATAAATATGTGTTACTTTCTTTAGGATTGTATTCAGTAACTCAAATAAACAGCTGAATATAATCGTGTTAGATAGAATTTTTTGGTTGTACATCTCTGCAGAACAATATATATGGTATCCTTGCTTGTGTTCGTTTGTTCTTTTAAAATTGTGAACAGTTCCTTACAATAGAGGATGCCATGCACTTCCTCGTCCACCCCAGTGTCCCGCAAAGAGGTGGAGGCCGCCTTCGCAATGTGCAATCAAGAGCAACCTCATCTATTGAAGCTTGCCGATTTGAAGGTTGGTGGAGATCATTGCTATTTTGTTCTCAAACGTTGGGTTATTTCAGTAGAGTAAGCTTCTATTCTGTCAACAACGTGATGCATGGGAACGATCACATATAGGAATCCAGGACATTTAGTACACAAGTGGTGTACATGGATCTCACTACATAAATTTGACCTTTGACTTATGTCAGTTGTTCTCCACCGTTCTTGAGTTATAGGTCATCTTACGTGTTTCGTAGTTTTTGATAAAATTGGTCGGTATCAGCTGTGACCAGTCATCATCCTTCAGCTCGTCATGCGTGCTCTTGGTTTTGACCCACGCAACACCCAAATTGATCAAATGACGATGAGATTTAGGCAGATACAAAGAACCAAGGTCGGAGGTCATCAAGGTTAGTAGAGCTTACAAGTTAAATGCATCCTTTGCTCCATATTTAACGCTGTTGCACAAGCTAGATTAGTTTATATGTATTGTGTGATATTTATTCCCGTCTAGAATTTCTGTAATATGCACTGCAATAAAATGGCGATAGCATAACATTGCAGTAGCCGATCATATGGATGTAGATGAGTTTCTGGAGATCCTAAAAGAGGATGGTAATGAGAAAGACGAAACAACAGAAGAGATGCGAAGTGCCTTTAAACTCTTTGACAAGGAGGGAAAAGGATGGATAACGGCAGAGAATCTTAGACAGGTAAGAGAACGTAAGCGAATTCGTTGAGTGTACATTATACTTGGATACTTGAATATTTGGATGGTCCGTCTTCACTAGTTGCACGGGCTCCGGCATAATTTCCACTTTTTCGGAATTCTGCTGGTTTAGCCATTGTGGTTCCCTGCACTCCCGAGGTCAGCCTAGCCAAAGTCCGCCCTGGGTCTTCACCACCAGAGACAGTCGCAGCCTTTGTGGATCAGAAGGAGATTTGCTACCATGTGACTTTGATATCAGGGCGGTGGTGGATGCTGGTATTGGTTAACTCTTAGTTGGGGTTCCTGTTGAAAACGCCGGACTCCTTCCCAGCTTAGGAGGCCCCGCCGTAGTGGAGGGGGGGGGGGGGGGGGGGGGTGGGTGAATTCCCCCTATTGTGCATCGCAACCCGACGCCAAGGAAGACCTCTCAGCTACGATGAGGCGGTAAACTGTTGGAAGACGAGTGTATATTATAAGCAACATTACTTAAAGGTAGCGATAGAACTGGGAGAAGAGCTGAGCGAAGAAGATCTCGAGGAAATGATCAAGGAAGCCAGCAAGGACGCCGAAGGACGGGTTGCTGAAGCGGATTTCTTTGCTATAATGAAAAGGACTTGTCTCTACTGATGTCTTATTTCTCTTCAAATATTTCTTTTAGCTTCTTTCGCGTTACATTACCCGCCTTTACATCTATATCCTGTCCAGCTCAAGGCATAGCATCGTAGCTTGGTTATGTAGAGATTGTGCGCTATAGTAACATGGAGTTATTGTTCAGTTTTCTTCTGTATTAGTCTTCTGAATATACTTTGTCATTACGAGTTTCGAGTGTCGTGACGATTCTCATTATTTAATGGATTTTCTTTCCGAAAACTTCAGCGAAAATGACTTATTTGCTAGAGAATTGCTATAAAACCATCTTACCGTGCATCTCTACATACATTTGATTACACTGGTTCTTTCTGTTACTTAACTTGTTATTACTTACTGTTTATCACAGTTGGAGATGTCAAACTTCCCAGTGTAAGTTGTTCCAAATTAGTACATTTTTCATGTAGGGTGGAGAAGTATATATTCTTGAAGTATTGTGTCCCCCTACCAAAAGGTCTACCACCCTTCGGTTGAGGTTAGGCCTTTGGTCTCGAGCCTCGACGTACAGCAGAGTTCGTCATCTCCTAGGGTTAACCAATCTGAGACTATTTCCACCAAACAGACTGTACCAACCAGAAATCAATATATGTCGAGAATTTCAACCGTTCTGAAAGAATTCTAGTTGCAAAATGGCGTGGCCTACATGTTTCGGTAGCAACGTGTGATGGCGAGCTACGACGTACTCGCATTGGTATGATGACATCTGCATGGTTCTTCGTGGAAGACGAAAAAGTCTATTCCAGTACAGCAGGATTTTCTATAAAACTCACGGTAAAACCACGGTATAGATGACGACACCTACAAAACCAATCATAGTCGATCCCTGTACAAACTTCGTAACGTGGAACGTCTACGCGTTTATGGAAGCAATTTCCATGTGCTAACCGCAACTACACTAAGACCTCACTTTAACGTTGTTGTTGTTGTTGTTGTTGTTGTTGTTGTTGCGTACGGTTTTACTTCGAGAAATATATGTGTTTGTTTTACCCAGATTTTGATTTATTTTCAAACTAACCATCATTTGACTTGGGTAGCAAAGTGATCAACATGTTTTTAAATTGTTGAGCTTAGGCGAAGTTGGTGAAAAGATTTGCTGGGTCCATTGTTCACAGTTTTTCCTTGTATTACTTTCTTTTCGTAGTGATTGTCACCCGACGTTTGTATCACGTCTCTGTCATGTAGTAGCAGTATGTTTTAGCGAAAGTGCCTCTACGCCTCCTCCTCCTCCAGCTATGACTGCTTCAGAAATGAACAGTGACTCGGATTGTCCACATGAAAAGAGCGGTTCACCAGGTGAACGTAATGACCAGAATGATAGTGGAAATCAGCTGGAAGAGAACATCGGTGCTGTGAAGTCCGTGAGTTTCTTCGGCCACTGCAAGTTATATTGCTGCAATTTTTAAGTGAGTTAAGGTAAAAGGTTATTCACCATCAGTCTGGGTGTTGACCCTTCTTTGCGTATCTTATCGATCCACCTTTAAGGCATGTTTTATTGATTAGGAAAGTTTGTCTTCTTTCCTTTAATCTCCAGGTAACTTTGGATGTCTCATCTCATTAACAACAAGCAGTGTTCCTTTGTGAATAATATTGAGAATTACCACTTTCTCAGTAGCTTTATTCGAGGATAATGGCAATTTACGTCATAAGTTTACCTTTGGCTTTGCAATGAAATTGTAAACTCAGACTTTATCATGGGGTTTACCTGCTCTACTTTGCAGTGTGACAGTTAAGAACACCCTAAAGAACTGCAGGGCAGTAGGCTGATGAAGACTGGTTATGTGAGTCACTCACTAAATACTCTGTGGTCTTCTGGTGTTAGAATCTTGTTTGAGAAGCATATATTCGAGCCTACTTTCGAAGCCACTTGTTATTTTCTATACCTACCTATTGTTCGTCGTTATGCTTCTACTCTTGTGCTAACTCCAGGAGTGATCGTATTTCCAGCTTCGTAGTGTTCAGTATACTTTAATAGACCCAAACTTCGTAGTACTTTTAGGAGCGTCATACTGGATCATGCAAATGGTTTAATGTACTCAAAGGCTTCGGTTTCATCATTCTAGATAATACACTGGAAGACGTATTTGTGCACCAGGTTGTAATCATTTTATAGAAGCAGCGGTGACAGCCTCCGCTTTTTTATTTCCAACCTCGTTATTTTAGTCGGAGCTGAAAATGGAAGGTTTTCGTAGTCTGGAGGAGGGAGAGCGTGTATCGTTCTTCGTGCGCACTCGAAACAGTGGACAGCGAGTGGGCGCACTGGAGGCATGGCAGGTTTGTTCTGCTTTGTTATTTCCTTGTAGCGTTTCAGCAAATGGGGTATTCCTTTAATATTTCTTTGAAGCCATCGTTTTGTACCAATGCAGTTAAGAAACAACTACTATATGTTTCCATCACAATGCTCACTTTTTATCTACTGTCTATGATTGTTTCTCACGGTAGGGTATGGTGTGAAATACAACCACTATGATGCTGAGATATCTGCAAAACTTGAACCCTTGGCTACATCGAACCGCAGTTACCATTTGTGAGAGGTAGACAACTGGTTGAGAAAAAGGCAAAGCAAGAGCCTCTTTGGCGCAATGGGCAACACGTGAACCCCGGAAGTCATCCCTACGTTTCGATCTGGCCTGGTGTCGAACTTTTGCAAATGTCTCAGCATCATGGTACAAGTTTATCAAAAATTTTTAGGTCGGGCCAGAAGATGAAAGTAAATCTCTGATTGGTAGCAGTATTCGTCCACTGGGAGCGAAGAAGGATCGCATGATTAGGTTTGTGCCACTACTTTTTATAATTTCGCATGCATGCGTCGTTTTCTTGTTCAGCAATCGCGAGGTTTTTAAACAGCATACATTTACTTCCATAGTGAAACACAATACAATACAACGCTAGCTGACGTTTCGGCAGTATCGCCTTCTTCAGAGCCTGGAAGGGTATACTGATATACAATCTCTTAGGCCAAACGCTTCAATAACACTTACAAAAAGACGAAAAACTCTCCGGTAATTACATGATCAACAACTTCTCGAAAAAACCCACCGCTTTTTCGTGACTTCCAATGAGGAAGTTTAGAACAGCTGATTATAGTCGCATGTGGTTGACGACTGCACCATCCGACATCAAAAATCGATGCGAACATACGGGATCAGGTCGCGTATGACCTCCGGGCATTCGTCCTTGCTATTCATTGTAGGGTTTTTGGCATTTATCCAAAAAGCCTCAAGGAGTTTTCGCGCTGGTGTTTTGAACTCCTGTGCAAGCATATTGACTTTTACTTCAAAATCGTCTCCTTTTCGTATGCAGTTGGCTGAATTTAACTCGGATATGAGTGCCTTATATATCGGTTTAGGTATCAGTTACAGCTTCTAAAATTCAGTTATTAAATCTTACTTAGGTGCTACAAGTGTGGACGCTTTGGGAACCATATGGCTCAAAGATGTAGAAAGGTGGACGCCGATCAGAAGGTGGTTTGGAAATAACTTTATGAGTTGCTTGAAATTTGCTTAATTCTTAGCATTGGGCGGTGCAAAGTAAGATGACAAGGTTACGCTTAGAAGTAAACGTCCAAATATCTTCTACGAATGCTTCGTTTTGGGTTGTTTTTTAAATACCGTTAGATTGTGGTATTTTTCCAGGTTTGTTACGGATGTGGCTCAACAGATCACCTCTTCAGTACCTGTCCTAAAGTGGCTCATCGAACAAAATCAAGTTAGTGCTGAACTTCTTTGTCCTTTATACAATTGTATTACTTCATTCCAATTTATTTAGAAGGAGATGGAGATGAGCAATGTAACGAACTGAATAAACAGACTAGCAATTAGTTGTGTTAATTATTCAGTTTATCCTCAACAATTTACTCGACTGCTCATGGAATCGCTTGTTTATTTTTTAATTATGGTCCTATCATTCTTTAGTCTATGTATATATTGCCTATTCACTGTTTTCTTGAAGAGCAAATACAAGGTTGTTACTTCTCTAAAGAACTACAGGGCTTGCAAGGGCCAGAATAGTGAAGGTTAGAAGAGGCTGTTTATTATGCGGGTGAAGATCTGTGCACTAAGTTCTATCTGCTGAGGTTAAGAAAGTGTTCTGTCGAGTAGATTGCATGTCAACTTAACCCCACAAGGCTCTGAAGAAAAACGAAGTCCGCGAAAACGTCAGCTTTTGTGGACAAGTGCTGTGGCAACAACCTCATGTTTCCTTCTCACGAAAACAGTGAGTGATTGTGATTGATCAGTTTCGAATTGAAAGAATGTCGGTTCCTGGACTTGCTCTATTTTCCATGTTTTACTGTTATAACATTTGCATGTGCATTGTTGTTATGTTATATGTGCCGATCTTGACCCTATCCTCTGCAAGTTTTTCTTAGAATTCATAGCTGTTTTATTTTACTCATTGTTACTTCATCCATACTCAGGGAATTTGCATTTATGTTACTCAGGATTTTTCTCACAGGTCCTACTCTACCTCAAGCACTTCTTATAGCGGTTTGTTTTTACTTTGTCTCAGGATTGTTACTAGATATCGACTCTTTGAAATTTGTAACAATGTTCTGTATTTATGTTACAGGTCTGTTTACCATTACAAGTAAAATGCTTGCATTGCTTATCATTGGAAGGGTTATCGAAGTGTCTCGAAAGCGTTTATGAAGTGCATGAATGAAGAATGAGGTCCAGCTATGGTCATCATAAATACTAACGTGAAGGCTTTTCATTACAAACTTTCTATTAATGTCCTGGTTCTAATATTGAATAAACTTGAGGTATCATATCCATCCTTCGTTTCCCCAAACGTAGCTGGCTTTTCAATATGCCAAATTGTTCAGTACATTCACAGTTCGCCTTTAATTGAGATATACTAATGTTTCGTTAGGTATTACACCAACAACTCTTGCGCTAAGGGAAACGCTATTCATAGAAATATCTAGTCCTATAGTGTTGTTTTTTTAGGGAAGGCTTGTTATTTAGAAAGTTGTACGTAGCACGTTGGCAGCGACTCCAGATTTACTGTGGGGGGTGTATGTAGTAAAAGAAACCACCTAAGAGGAACCGCAATGAGTTCAAAACAAAGGGCAGGGTGTGCACCAACATGCATAATGAAGCCAATGCACAACATCAGGAATGTGTTAGATTAGTGAGGAACAAAAAAAAATCCGAGACAATTTTCTTTGATTTACATGTTATTTGTTATTATGTCGGGATACGAAAATTGAGCTGCAGTCATTTATATCAAGTAGTAGGCCTTTTTATTGATTACAGACCTACATTAGTGATCCACAAAGTATTCGCGCATGGTTTGTCATGGTGCGCACCTGTACTCCCGAGTCCGCCAACACTTCCATCACTCCAGGGCCGCGCAGTTAATATCAGGCTGCATCTGCCCGGGATGAGCTAACTGCCGGCAATCAGCAGAACTGTGAACTGCCCGTAATGATGAGGAACCGGAATCGCACTGGTGCGGCCGTTACAGGATTCCAGAGAGAATTAACTCGACCGGCATTCCACGAAATTCATAAAGGAGATTGAAACCTCTTAACAGCAGCCGAACCTATTCACAAGGCCCTTCATCGATAACGGATACGAGAAATAATCGTGCGCAAGAAGTGCAGGGATTTATTCTACAGGTGATGTGGGGTTGTATAAAGAAGGTACTAAGGCATATTTAAATTATAAGCAGTCGTAGTTCTTACGGTTAAAATATTATTTGAAGCGTTATAAATGACAGCATTAGGTTTAGAGTTGGAAAGTGTTCTTATACTTAGGAAGAATAAGTTCTTTCTCCTACACTCTTTTTTCCCCAACTGTTTACCGTTTCATCGCATGGCTGCGAGGTGTTCCTAGGTGTCGGACTGCGATCTTGAGCGGGGGGATTGATCCCATCGGCAGTGTCTCCCAAGTTGAGAAGAAGTCCCGGGTTTCCATCAGGAAGCCTAGCTAAGAGTAAACCAATAACAGGATGCATCACCATCCTGGTATCAAAGTCGCATGATGACAAATCTCCCTCTGATTCACAAGGGCTGCGACTGCATGTCGTGGTGAAGACCTAGGGCAGACTTTGGCCAGGCTGACCTCGGGATTCCAGGGAACCACAATGGCTTAACCAGCAAATCTCCGAAAAATGGTGATTATGCTGGGGCTCACACAATCTTAGGACGGGTCGTTCAAGTATCAAGTAAGTACGCTCTTTTTTAGAAATGTAAAAAACTACGAGGGCTGGAAAGAATGTCGTAACAAGGTGTCCGTGAAGTCAACTAGTCCTTTATTTAAGTGAAATTGTTATGAGAGCACCGAGAATGTAATTCTCCATTCTACTACAAATAGGATAAAAACAAGGCAACATATCACAAATTCCATCCTTTTTTCTAAGTTACCTTGAACCTTGCGAGGCTACCGACAAGTCTTGCCTTACCTCACCCCAACCTACCCCACTGTACCGATATGCATTCATATTGCTGATCTCGTGCTCCGCTTAGATTCGCGGATTGATCGAGGATCTGCGAGCTGATTCACACCTTTGCTTGTTCGTCTTCGTCTTCTATTATCATCGTTAACTTTGACTTGAGGTTTGGACTTTGTTTTGGCGTAAATGTGCGAAAATATGGTATTTTGCACCAAAACATACTACTTAAGCTGACCCTTAGGAACGTATCTTTCTCTTTTTTTGGAATTTGATATGAAGATTCCAAAGCGACAAAAATCAGCAAAGGCAATGTAGTCACTTTTTATGTACTGCATATTCTTTTTTCATGGCTGGGTAAAAGCTCTCCAGTCGGTGTTGATCAATCCTTGAGGGATGCGCCATGCATTCGACTTCATTACGTCGTTTGGAGGTGATTGAATGCATAACTGGCCTTTACAATGACTCGCGGCTGCCTACTGATGTATCGAGCCAGTGCTGCTATCCTCGAAGACAGATTTGGTACCAATTTACCGACTCCAGAGGATGGACGGCTTGGTGGGCCATGGGCGCGGGGATTGATTCCACGTGTGTGTCGCAGGGTGCCTCCCACCACTACACCACAAGCGCCCTTTCTTCATGGCTAGGTATGATGTGAAATACAACTACGATGTGTCTGCGGCCCGGAGTTTTGGAAATAGATCAGAAATCACTAAGAAAATGATCGAGCTGCGGATTTTCGGCCAGGATGTCTCGTGATATTGGTCCACCACTGTTTTCTGCGCTATTCATGCGCTATATAGCGTTTAATACTCGAACTAAAACTTACAGTTTGAGGATAATGACGGTGTACTTTACCCTCCACTTCATGTTCTGTGTAGTTTCTTCATCTAATATTCTAGCGATTCGCTTACCTTTCTTGGGCGGGTACTTATCCTCCTTGCGGATCATTCCCAAAACCTAAGGATGCTCTGGAAAACAAACGTTCCGAAGCAGTGTGTCCGGCTTGGTCGGCCGTGGTTCACACTCTGTCCACGGAGCGCGATATGGCACCGTTCTAGCTGGGCTATTATAGATTGCGGTGCATATGAAACCATAGGTAAAAAGATATGGTGCGAGTGAATTCCGTTGTGCTGCATTTCGAAATTATTGGTGATTTAATTAGGAGTGGTTTTGTGAGCATATCTCATTCCTACCTATTGAGATTTCATTACTCTATTTCCTCTCCCTCTTCTTCTGGATGCTGTACTGGACCATGTATGGCTTACAGAGTCTTAATTTTTATTCCTTGTATTTATTAGCGAACAGAGATGCTTGGCGTCTTAATTTTCCAATCTACGACGATAGAAGAGAGACAGGCGAAACGAGGGACCCGCATGGTGTGGCAGTGAACGCGTTACCCCCCCCCCCCCCCCCCCCCCCCCCCCCCAGAAACGGTAATAACAGGTTCGTCCCCCACCACAAATACCTGCGGTACGGAGTTTTACAAATATCTC